TTATAAATACTCCTTTCCACTCATACTATGTTTCATCACTTTTCTGTTTATTTTTCTGATCCATACTTCATTTTAAATGCAGTCAAGGTCCCTGTGTTGAGATAACAAGACTATATTTAATTATTTGGCAAGAAAGTTCAGGACAATTCAATTGGATAAGTGATGAAAAAAAAAGGGAATACTGGTTCTGCCTTAAGGACATACAGTAACAGAAATCCAGTTTACTGCCAGGAGCAGTACACTTTCTAATAAAAAGATCAACACAGAAAAAACAGTTAATGTGCAGCACATTTGATTTCTAAAGCAGCTGGAAATATTCCAAGAATCTCAGCAGTTTTTGCTCTCAGTTACCTACTCACTACTTACCTACTTTCATAAGAATCTTAAATTCTCTTTCAGTAATATGATGCAACACAACTGATGCATACAGCATGGTAAACAAGTGTAACACCACATTACTTATTTTGAAAGTGAAGCTTTACTTATTTTTTTTTGCTCTCTGTACAAGTATTGCATTTTAAATGCTTTTTTCATTTCAGACACTACAAATATATCATGCAGAAACCGAAAGTAAAGGTGAAAGCAAGTATTATATATTTGAGAGTATTATATATTGAGAATATTTGCTTCCACTTAACAGAGCTATACTTCCATGGATGGCATTTCAATAAAGCAGATTACACTATCTCAGTATAAATTTTGAAAATACTGAAAATTAAGTATTTTACACCACATTCAATTTACCCCAAATATATAGCCACAGTAGCCTAGTTTCACACAATCTTTAAAGAACCCGAATATTGACACTGGCTTTCTTGTCATCAAGCAAACACATTTTAAATGCCTCTTTTGACACAGAAGATGAAGAGATTACAGCAAAACCATACTATTTGTACTAAAGAATCAAATACAAGAAAACAGTTTCCACAGCTAACACTGCAGGTCTTCTCCTGTGTGTATCCATCCTACTCAATGGATAAGGTAGCTGTTATAGAGGACAAGGATGAGCAGCAGCAGAGGGGAAAAAATAAATCCACAAGGAACAGATCACAGAGCCAGTATACGATACCTAACAGAGAAACTAGATTTAGATTGTCAAGTCAGTCCTAAGAGCTGGAATTTCGTAACTTGGAAATTCTGGGCCTGCAATCTAAATAACACAGTTCTAGTTATTTTATTGGGGAAAAAAAGAAATAAATTCTATACTAGGCAAAATTCAACCATCACACATCAGCGGAGTATGAACACTGCAAGACCTAATGTACCACTGTCTTCAGAAAAACTAACTGGTGGCAGCAGGTCACTTTTTAGATGACCATTTGCCAAGATGTGCAAGTGCCATCTGTCCCTCCCACACAAAGGTACAGTTTGAGAGTGTCCTGTCCCAGTCACCCCCCCAGCCTAACACTGGGGCTCTGGAACTTCCCAGAGACACAGAACTTTCAGTCTAAAACTCATTTATGCTTTAAAAAAAAAAAAAAGAGGGCAAGCTGATGGCTGATGAATGCAAGCAGTACTAATGTAAGCTATCTTCAACAATTTTATATTTCAAGAAATATTAAGTCGAATTTCTTAGTAAAGAGGTAATGCACTATCTGATGCAAATCATACATACCTAAGCAGCTCCCCAGTGGTCCCCCATATTATCCTAAGTGCAAAGCGAGTTATTAAGAAGTCAGCACTGACAACACTGGAAACTGAAGTCACCCTAAGGCTCTAACATCACCTACTGCACCTCTGGAAGTGGATACTTAGGTACAGACTTTCTAAAAGATAGACAGGTGCCTGGCATTAAAAGATGATAGATGATAGATAGATAGATAGATAGATAGATAGATAGATAGATAGATAGATAGATAGATAGATAGATAGATAGAAAAAGAGACAGGAAGCAATCACCCATCTCCTATCATGGGTGGTTAACAACTTCTGATCCTACACTCTTGAATCAGCAATTCACAGATGATAGCCTGAGAAGCCATATAATTAGTTTACACATGACCTACAGAATGACAGTATCTATGTAGTTTAAGAGCAAAAAGCTTGGAGTATAACATCTGTGTAAGAAACTCTGATAACTGAAAAGGGCAGAGCTCTCAAAATCAGTGGTGTAGTGACCTGACCTACAGATACATAAATTAAGGAGCTACAGAAGTTGCAATTAAGAAAGTAAACCAAACACCTCCACATATGCCTGTTTCCAGAGATGTTGAAACCACATTATTTTCAAATTCTCTAGGAAAACAGCACTAGTGTTTAAACACTGAGCATATATGTTTCTTCTCTGATAACTTAAATAGCTTAATTGCTCTTCTTTGAGATGTCTGGAAAGGCAAATCATGTTTCAACTCCAAGGGAAAAAACACACTGAAAAACATTAAAGGGATCATTTAAATGAAGACTGCTATGAAATGGTCCACATCACTCATTGTTAGTTTATGGGTATATGCGTATTTAACTCACACATACATGACTTCTGCTTATGCTAAAAAGAACACCCAAAGAAAATCAGACAACTGAGATTTGGGTCTGCAGCACAATCCCTTCTGTTCTGCTTTTAATTCAGGTATCAGTTTTCCAAGACTAAGCACATTCACATTACAAAGAGTAGTCCTTCTCAGCTAAAGACCACCAATTTATAATAAAGCCCAACTTCAGAACAGTTTTAAACTGTGCCTATTTTTTTTTTTACACTTCTGACATAGAATACAGGAACTATACTTGTGTCCAACAAACAGGAAACTGAGCATAAACAGAAGCTGAATCTCTCTGCAGCCTTGAAAAGAAATCTAATCATTACTTAAAAAAAAAAAAAAAAGGAAAAAAAGGTCTTTATATTTCTGTTCCTGGCATCTAATGACACTTTAAAAAAAAATAAAACCAATTACATTACCCTTTTAGGATTTGGGGTTTTTTATGAAAGTTACCAATGGAAAGAACATACATTCCAATCCTCAACTCTCACGTAGGTCATATTCTTTCTTATGTGGTCTTAAAAAAGCAAAAACAGAACAAAAACACACTACACCCACCAATCACGACTGTCTTAATTAAGACAACGCCAAATTCTTAAATGTCAATCCCCCCCTCCCAAAGACAACAGTACCTATTTAGAAAACACTATTAGTTGCTTACTATCAATGTCAGCTTTTATGCAGTGCACCACTAAACAAGAATACCATTTTACCAAGTAAATCATAACAGACAACAGTCAATCAATCTGGTGTTTGTAAACACCACGGAGAACTAAAGGCTGTTTGTCAACATCAGTCAGTAAGTAGCTACTTACATTAACAAAACTTACTATGGGAAAGGACTGCAGTCTCAAGATACGCATTTATTTAGATTATTTTAACCAGCCTTAACTGTCCACAACCTGAGACTTGGAAGTCAGCTTTCAGAAAAGCATCGTTTGTGTTAAGAGCCCTCACTGTCTTAGCCTTCAGAGTCCTGTCAATCCAAACCATGAACCTGCACATGGAAGCAGTTCCTGTTTTGAGAAACTTTCTAAACTACTGTTCTCAAATCAGTAGTTGAATTCAAGGGGTACACAAACATACTGATGTTTTAAATGCTACCAACTAAAAAAATACTCCATAAGGACAAACTTGGCTTTAATCCCAATAATCCAATTCTGCACATCTTAGCCCAGTATATTATGTCCCAAATGCTCAGCAAAGCCAAAACTGTATCTTTCTACCACAGAGCTTTCCATCATTGCTAAAATCCCAGAAACACTGTTGAAATGCATCTCAGATTAACTGAAAGAAATCTGAAGAGATGCTACTGTTCCTTTAAATTAAGATACAGTTAAGATAATTGAAGTTCATGCTGAGCTTTTAAATTCCTGAAATAACGATATTAAGAACCTTCATTTTGCTCCAATTCTGTTATTACTTAGGAAAACATCACCTGAAACAGCACTGCTTTCTGATGTGCCACTTCACTAGCCTCACCAGATCTACAGCCATCTACCAGCCCCCCAATCACCACTGTTAAAATACAGTAATATGGCATGTTACATGTAAAGAGCAATTTCAGTTCTGGTGCCCATGCTTTAAACTTGCACTCATGTAACAAAAGCTCCTGCAAGAACTGTGAAAGACACACTAATATAAAAATCATATTAAACAGAACTTCTTATAAAGTGTAACTCTTTGTAAGCAAATACAGATTAGGATTAAAACTCTTTGTCACATGCATTCATTTTGTTCTAATAACATTTGGTTATTGGGCAGATATTTGATAGCCCTGTAACTCTATTTCATTTGATTTATTTCAGGCTCTAACGTGACACTAAGCAACTAATTTACAGTCACTTACTTGCTAACTTTAAAAAAAAAAAAATAAATCTGCAAGGTACCAAATTCACCCAAGCCTTGGTCAGCACTACCGCATTTACAAAAGGCAAAATGCAGATTCAGAAAAAAAAACTTCTAAGAAGTTTCTGTGCCTGACAAGGGCAATAGTTGCTGTAGCAATTTTTTATGCTACTTAAAGTTTATACCTAACTTAGGGGAGATTGGCATGATTCGTATCTTACATATGCAAACTTAATTTCCATTTGGGGGCTCTTAAACTCAGAAGAAGTTCAGATGCCCAAATTCCGAATACAGATAACCTTGAGCTTGGCTGTTTTTTTGTTTTTTTTTTATCTGAAGGTCAACTCCACATGCCCTTATGAATTCACTGGTTAATTCTCAACATACAGTGATGACAACAACTGAACACACAACATGATTTGGTCTGACAAAAAATAAAATGGTTTCCAAGGAAATGACAGACCACTTGACCACTTACTGATTTCTCTGGGGATTATACTGCATTTTTAATGCAATTTCACAAAAGTAAAATGTATGCAACAAACATTAATCCTCTGAGTATGGCCTTTAAGCAAAGCATATAAGTAACGCACAGAAACTTCAAATTGTTTTGTGAAATCACTGGTTTAAAATTAAACAGGTAAATAAGTAAGGGTTTCTCTCAGATAGTTTGCTTACCTCTGGGGGGGGATATAAGGAGCAGATACCGTTGGCATAACTGTACAGGGTTCAACCACGGTTTTCTTGGCTTTTTTTGTCTTTTTTCTGACTTTTGATGTAGACCTAGCAGTTCTGACAGATCCCTCCTTTCTACAAACACCATTTTTTATTTCAGCTTCTCCATAAATATTTAGAGGTCTCCGTGTGCAACCTGGTGGAGTATGTACATCGCAATAGGCAGTCTTTTTTACAGAGAATGTTGTCCCACTGCCAGTTAGTTCTTTCACAGGTTCCATTTTCATATATAGACCGGCCTTTTGAGCACACGTCACATGGAATGCAGTATAGCAGTTTGCTTTGTGGCACTGGATGCAGGCACCAACACCTTTCTGTTTACAGAGGTAGCATGTTAACTTCCATCTGGCTGGGGGAATGTTCCTGACACCATCAATTGGTTCAATAAAAACTGTATTGGCAAATCCAACCTCTGGAATCCACAAAGCACACACCACGTGTCCCCAACGATCATCATCTGTCTTTTTAAAGGCACCTCCCTTGTTTGGGCACAGCACACAGTCTACAGGCCGAGAACGGGACTGCAGACAGTGTCTGCAGAGCCACTGGCCCTCAGGTATATATGGCACCCCATAGCATTCCTGATGTACTGCTAAATTACACATATCACAAAACAGGATTACATTGCTGTTCTGACATTCACCATCCATGCATATACAACACACCGCATCTTCATCAATTAAAGACTGATGATCACCCTGTTTTTGGTTCTCACAATAAGACTCTTTTTCAAACCTATCCATAAGGAATTCAAACATATTTTGTGAAACAACTGACACTCCATCGCTTTTCCGCTTCTCATTTATTATTTCTAACCATGCATAATCTTCTTCATCCATGTCATACTCAACTTCATTATCAAGTTCTTCTGCTGACTTCTCAATGAATTTGTAATAAACTGGAGGTCTCCGTGGAGCTGAAGGGGGACTGTACTCAACAATCCGTACTTTTGGTTCTGGAAGAGGAGTTGCTGTAGCAGGTATACCGTGTGAGCTCGGGAGAGCTTCATTTTTCTTTTTCACTTTGTTATTTTTATGCCGTTTGCTTCTTAGACATACTGGTGGTCTTTCACTATTTTCTTTATTGCTGTTGCATTCACTCATCTCCTGGGCTGTAAGATCATCTTCTAATATAATCTCTAAAGGATCAAAGATACTGATCCTATGCAGGCGACCTTCAATTTCTATTTCAACCATTCTTTGAGCTTGAGCGTATGTCAAGGTTTCTCGCGTGGGGGAGTGCTTAATACTGCATGGGGAAGAAGAATGCCTTGCAGCTGATACCCGATGACATCTTCCTTTTCTCCTCATTTGGTAATGTTTACCTAAAATTAGAGCAGCAGTTAATATTATGAACTCTAAACAATCATATTAAAATACTATTTTTTTTTTATAGCAATGAAAAAAACCTTTGGTTCTATAGCCCTCAGCCTATTTACTCATTAAAAATAAAAATGCTGTTACCCTTACTTAATAGAGCTGCTCACACTGGTTTGTCCAAATTTAACCTAATGATAAACAGTTCTCCCTAATAACACCTTCTGTAAGTAAACACAACTATACAAAACCCTTCATACTGATAGGTCTCCTGTAGGAGATTTGTAAGGCCTCTGCACGAGAAAAAACATTTCAGAAGTGCCACACAAAAAAGTCCACATTAGGTACACTGTAAGAAAAACTTAAATATAATCATTTCTAATACCTTAAGTGTGTCTGCAGTCTGATTTTTTTTCCCCAACAGCAACAGATTACTTTCTCCAGATGCCCCCCCAAAACAAGTAACATAATTGTGAAAAGAAAAACAAGTCTTCCCCTATTTTTTTTCCTAGCACAATGTGAAACAGTCACATTAACAACTCAATTCCTACAGTGATACTTAAAGCTAAAAAAATGGGCATACTTCCAAATTTGGCAAGTACGCAGTTTGACAGCTCTTTACTTTTTCACTTTTCTCCATTCTTAGCCAGCCTATCATTCATTACAAAATGACAAGAACACAATTAACATGCAGTGCACCGTAACTGCAACAAGGAAATATCCCACCTCTAAAACAGACTGGACTTACAGCAAAAACACACTCCTGCACGTCAGTGTGTGTGAACATGCACCTTTCTCCTTTTAAGAAATTCTTCAAGAGTTCTGCTTCTCAGAGGAACTGGGGCAGATAAAAATTTCCCTGTCTTTAAATCCAACCCCAAGCTCTTTAATGTAATTTTAAAGTTTATCACCTACTGGAAAAAGATCATTCCACTACCATACAAAAAGACAGCTCCCATCCCCAAAGTAACATGACTAGGACAAGCATGCATTTGGATCACAAAATCTTCCATACTTATGTCTTTTGGCATTTTAAAGTTGTTTGTTGGTTTGTTTCTTCCTATGAAGGCTGAAAATATTGTAAAACCAATACCAACTGATAAGGTCAAGTTTAAAAGTTCTATTCCTTTCCTTCTTTCTTCCTAATAAATCATTAATAAACAGCAAAATTCAGTGTCAGCCACAGAACAAACTCTTGATATTTAATCACGGGTCTAAAGTATTATTAGGGCTTCACCGTTTCAATCCTACACTTCCAAGTCAGTGTCATGCATTATTAGAATAATGCAACTAGTGTTAGCATGTACTACCAAAATAGCAGAGAAATAGAGATCAAAACACAACTACTGTTGAAGACTAGGGTATCTGTTTCAAGAAGAAATAGCAAGGACTGGAACAATTATACATAAACTACTCCATGTAGCCTGCCTTTTGTTTAGTCTGTGATGCCAGTTTCTAAAGGTGCACCTTCAAAGCGCTGAAGGAACTCCTTTTACAGGAAGGCTAAATAATTTAGGCAGCTAGTGTAAAGACTAATTCTCGAGAGGGTCCTATCTACTTGCTCCCACAAACTGATCTTGTTTTCCCAATCTAAAATGTTTTTATTATTCATGTGAGAACTGTGTTGCTCACAGATCTGACTTTTACACCCTTAACTCTTATTACTTGTTTTTATGGCACAAGCACAGACAACAGTCGGTGTTTAATCATGACAGACCTCTGATCTGTTCCATATAAACAACAGATGAATAAAAAAGGCTCCACTTCTTCAAACAAGTTTGACAGAAATATTTAATGATTTAATCCTGTAAAACAACATACTCATTTCTTAACTGCAGAGAAACTTTAAAGCACTAACACTGCTACAGAAGGTCCAATAACTAGAAAAAAAGGCATACTAATAGTTTAACTGAAATTAAAAGTTAGTTCTCAGTTTCACAACACATTTTATAATTCAGAGACCAAAGATCACACAATGGCCCCGATTTCTGTTTATTGTTGTGAACAAATAATGAGGGCACAGATGAGAGATAACCTTCAGAAATCAAAAAAAACCCGTGCAACTTGTCTCCACTTCGCTATTGAACTTAACCCAGTACCACAAAAACACACACTAATGCTAGGTTTCCAAACTCTTCATCCCTCCTCTGCTCAAGAGATTCTCAAGCATGGCTGCAAGCAGGCAATGAAAAGAGGAAGAAAATATTCAAAAGCACAAGTGTTCCTGCTTAAGGACTTAGGGCTACTATTGTAAAAGTCAAACTGTTCGATCAAGAATGATAAAAAATGATGAACTAACATCTAAGCATCTCCCCTATAACACTTATCTGTTAATAAAGCTATATTAGGAAGCAATTTACAGTCACAGTTAAGCGCAGAACGGATACCCTACAAATATGATGCAATGCACAGAGTTATGACTGGTAGCACTCTGACCAAATTTCTTAGAAACTGAGTGCAAATACCTTAAATGCCTGGAAAGCTAAAGTACTGTTTTGTTTTCTTTCTGCAAAATTCTTCTGTTTGCAAACGTCCTATAAATATTCTGGGTGAAGACAGGATTTCCGCATAACAAATTCATGACTGGCAATTGGTTTGCTTTTCCCAGTTAATGACCAAGTATCTTTCTTCCCTTCCCCCTGCAGTACCTTGCAGATCGACAGGAATGAAGACCATGGATCCAGATTCGGAAAAGAGTAAACCGAGATAATTTCCATTCAGCATGAAAAAAGATACCACACTGACACCAAAACGAAATTACTTTAATGTATTTTTCTGCCTCTTACAACAACTCAAAAGGCTGCAGGAGATAAACTGGGAAAGTTATCCACAGCTTTCCTCTAGGAATTACATCAGCTGCTTGGGAAGAAAGTCACCAGCACATGCTTCCCCTCACAACAGAAATACACCAAAATTGCTGCTTGTCTGGAATACACGGCATGAGGCAAAAAATACTTCGTACCAAGGAGCAGGGAAGCTAAAACGAACAGGAACGTGTACTTTTTGATTACAAATTCCTTTCACAAACTGTCCTAGTTACCTTCCTCCTCCTCAAATAAACTGCCTTTGGTCCCTGGATCCCCTGCTCAATGGAAAAGGAAATTCCATTCTCAATGGACACTTTCATGCAAACCATTAAAAAGATAAAGACACTGGAATGCTCTTTAGCCCCAAACAATGACGGGGGTGAGCAAACAGGGCTTACAAGCATACACGGCAGACACCACCCACAACTTCAACCGCGGGGCAGCATAAATCCCTTCAGGGCAACGCCAGGAGCTGGGGCGCACGCAGCATCACCTGAGCCGAGTCGGGCCGAGCCCCTCCCGCTACCGGCATGGCCCCCGCCCAGCGCGGAGCCCGCCCGCGGCCTCGGGCCCGCCCTCTCCGGTCCTGCGCGAGCACTTCCTGCCCACGCCCAGGGAGCCTCCACCGCGCTCACACCCCTCCGCGCCAATGGTTCCTGCCCGGCCCCGGCGTTCCCCCCTGCCGGCCCCCCGGAGGATGGTTCCTGCCCGAGCCCATCATCTCCAGCCCTTCCCAGCAGCCACCTCCCTCCCCTCCGCGAAAATACTCGGCCCACAATATGGCGGCTGACAAAACACCTCGAGCGGCGCCCTGCCCCCGACTGCCGCGCTCCGCTCTCCCCCGCGCAGCCTCCGCGCCCGCCCGCCTCGCCCCTCGGCCGCCTCTCCCCCACCGCCGCCGTGCCCAGTCCTCCCTGCCCTCCCCTTCCCTCCGCCGGTCTCCTGTCTCCCCGCGACGGGACCTACCGGCTCCCAGCCCCGCAGCCCCCACCCGCCCGCCGGCCGCCGCCGCCCGCCTGGCTTCACTCACGCTGTGGGAGCCGCCGAAGCGCGGCTGACAGACCTCCCTCTCCGCCGCTGCGGCCGACGCTGCGGCCGGTTTAATGGCGGAGGTCCCGCCGGCACTGCCGCCTGGTCCCGCGTCCGGCAGCCGCGGGCGGCCGAGCGGGCGCTGAGGGAACCGCGCTGCCGGCGGCTACCCGGCGCTGGGTGCAGGGCTGCTGCTGCAGCCGGGCGCGGCGCATTCGTGAGGCGCGGCGCAGGTCGCGGTCCGGCTGCGGGCTCGGCGCTCAGCTCCCGGGGCTGAGAAGCTCCCCTCCCCCCTCGGCACAAACAATGCGGCTTCACCACAGCGCTGCGCCGACGGGGGGGAGGGAGGGTAGAGAGAGGGAGGGAGGGAGGGAGGAGAGAAGGGAGCGAAGGGACGTGAGGGCGCCAGGCACCGCCCAGCCCCGCCGCCACCGCGGGGCGGGACCTGCGCACAGCCGCTCCTCCGGCCCCGAATGGCGGATCGCTGCACGGGGCGCTGCGGCGGTGCGAGCCGGGCCTCACCTCGGGGGACAAGGCGAGAACGCGGCGGGCAGAGAGGCGCGTTCCCGCCCAGCGAGAACGCTGAAACGGCCGAGCGCGGGAAGCGGCGCGGGGAGGGGCGGCAGGGCGGGACGCGGCTGGTTACAAAACCGCGGCTCAGAACTACAAGCGAGTGGTATTTATTATTTCGTTGGGGGAAGTCCAAGCTCGAGGTTCGCACACAGAAAATCTGATTGAAAGTTAGCTCTTGCGCGCCCTCGGGGTCAGGCGGCTGCTAGTAAACTCACCGGTAATAGCCGTACGTTTTGCCAAAAGCAAGACAAGTTATTTCTGTCTCTCCCTATAAAGGACACCCTTTGTTATGTATTAGACAGCCATTACGGCCGTACTCGAGATGTAGAGGATTTTGCTGCAATATACTGCGAGGCAGCTGCACCCACATGCTTAAAAGCAACTTTCAGCCAGCCCAGCCCAAGACAAACACTTGCCTTTGCCAATTATGCAGAACAAGTCCTGGGTGCAGTAAGCAGCAAAGTGTCAGGAGCAGGTATGATTCTCTTTGCCCATCTGTAATAGCTGTAGACTAAGTGAAGCCTTCTTCAGAACACCTTACCAATTAATTTTTACATTTTCTCTACTGTGCTGCTTGCCTCAAACAGCAGTTGGTCCTACAAAAAAATATAGGACTAGGAAATCAGAAATAGATACACCTGTCATTACTTGTAAAGAGTGAGTGAAGGTCCATAAAACTTCAGAAACTTTGCTAATGAAATCCTGTAGAATGGGCACTTTCCAACTCCTTTTTCCCCGTCAGGGACTATCCAGCACACTGACCTCTTAACAAACCAGAAGCTATTAAAACCTGAGTGCAGCGCACTCAGTGTAGAAACAGACCTTTAGGATCAGATAGGCCCAGTAACTTCAAATTCCAATATAAAAAAAGACTATATGAACTGCAGAGGCCATCTGGTTATTTGTGTAGTTGCCTGTGAGGAATTGCTCTCTGACAGTATCACTTAAGTGATCCTACCACCAGTCTCAGAAGTCTGATTTAAGTTACCAGTGTTGCTCTGGAATTCAGCTCTATGGCAGAAAGTATTAAAGATAGAGCAGCATGCTAAATCATATACCTTTAGTTCACAAAGTATAAAAATGACTAGAAATTATGAATGTTGTCAAGAAGCTAATAATATCTATGATAGCAAACATGTTATCTTTTAAGTGATAATCCATGTGTGTATCTGCCCTGCAGCGGTACAAATGCTTTAGAACTAGAGACAGGTTTTCCACAGGGCACTTGACGGTGTCCATACTCTCACATATCTGATGCGCAACTAAGTCTGGTGCCTTTCCAGTTCCTTTTTTCTGTCAGGTGGACTACAGGACTCTCTTCTGGAGCTGGACATCCCTCTGATAATGCAGTGTTCCTTATTGGTATTTGCATTATTTAATCATCTTTATGTAGTTTAAATTCATTTTTTATTCTCTCTAGTAAGCTCTACTTACATGACTTTTTCTTGAGATTCACCTTCCAGCTCTGCCTGCTGTGAACACAGGGCACATCTGGCAAAAGCACTCCATCCATAAGGTATAAGGTCTTGACCTTCATGCCGATAAAACCAGGAAGCGGCAGTTCCAAAATTATTTCATTAAAAAGACAGTGGCTGCATCAGATTCCCACAACCTGTTGACCAAGGACTCATAGCACAGCCTTAGCAATCACAGCAGCATGGTACAGTGCCAGAACCTGACCTCCTAATAGATTTGAGATAAAAAGTTTCTGATCCACGTAGGCCTCCCTGCTCCTCAGATTTCTACAGAGCTTCGAAGAACTGCTGAGCTTCATTTCCTGGTTCCCATACTGAAGATGATGTCTCCACCTCAGATTATTAACATGCACGCACGGTTCATCAGTGTTCTAGATCCTCTCAATTATTCTCAGTAAGAAGGAGAGGAGTTTTTGCTACAGATGGTTCAGGCTCTGGCACAGAACAGATGTCACGCCTTGATACGGAACTTCAGACCAATGGCACAAAGATCAGGGCAGGCTCAACACATAGTTCTGTATCAGGAGCCTTACGCTTTCAAATCATTTCTCATTGACCTTATGACAGGCTACCAGATTAGGATCCTCAACCTCTCCTCATTAAATATTAGTATGTTAGTCTGAATTATTTTAAAATTTCAGAACATAGCAGCATCTGGGGCATTTTACCAGTCCTCAGCACACGCTTCTATAATCTGAAGGATACTTTTCCTTTGCCTTCTCCATCTCACAGGTAAGACATGGTGCCTCGAAATAGAGTTCTTTCTACTTTTGGTCAAGGAAGAAATAATTATATTGGGATACCATACAATTTCAAGAAAAATAAATAACTGTCCCTCTGAACCACAGTTTGCTGGCAGCAGGACCCTCACTACCTTTTGTGGCACTAGCTCAACATGAGCATGTGGCTTCAGGCTCTGTCCATCAGAATCTTCTCACCCCTACTTGGCAGAGTCAAGTTTTCATTCAAACTGCCACTGCTGAGTCACCCTGCATGGAAGACTTCTACAGAAGGAGAATCTTCTGCCTACCAGCTTTCACTTGCACTAGTTATCAAATTCTCAAAAGAAATGCTTCAAGAAGTACAGATCATTAAAAAAAAAACCCAAATACTATTTAACTGTTTCAGCATCCTCCTCTTTCCTTGCAGTATTAAACTTCACACACATTTCTAAAGTGTATCACCTACGTATTATCACCTTTGTTTTACAGATTAGTAAAGATCAACTGAGTCTTGCTGCAGCACTTAAACACGGGCAGTGGTGTTTATCTTCCTTGAATGGAACTCTGTATCCCTCTCCTGGTCAGAACAGCTGGCTGGTGAAGGAACAAGCAAGTGGCAGAGCCCACTCCACATATGCTTTAGAACCTGCAAGAGACTTTCCATTTCAAGACAGGTTCTAGACTGCCACAACATACGTGTGTTGGTCTTCTTCCTATCGCAATGACAGATCTGCCTAACCTTGCTAAGTCATATGATGCCTCAAGCCAATCTATTTTCAAGTCACTGAACATCTTACACCTTGAAACTCCTCTATGCATGATTTATATTCCCCTCCAAAATACTGTCTCATGATATAGAACATTACCATGGTCCTTTCATCCTGCAAGGGGATGCTTTTCGATCTCACCTCATCAATTGTGATATATGGCACTGGTGAAGTACTCACAGGCATGACTCTGCAAGGCTGGTTGTTCTCAAAGGAAGGGCTGTTCCCAAACCTCACAGAAGCCAGGACAGCATGCACTGTGGAAAAGATGCTGCAACCCTGTCAAAAGACACATAAGAGCAGTATGTTGACAGAAAAAATCACAGCTGTTTATCTTCACTCTGTCAGGTGGTGTAGTGTCTCTCCACCTCTTCTGGCTCATCTTTGTGAACTGCTGTATATAAAGACAAATCCATGTATCACTGATCAATCTCCTAGTCATCGTGGGTGCTTTGGCAGAAAGGCTGACTTCTTTTTTGTACTAGACTGAGTGGGATATATGGTCCAAATTCCTAGATGACAATTCCAGAACAGGGATCAATATTTTGGCTTCTAATATGGAAGAAAAGTGTTAGCGCTTTTTACCCTTACACATTTACTAAATATTTCCCTTGTTCTCTGGTTAGAAAGAATAGTCTGCATTTTCCTGTTCATTCCTCTGATCCTGGACTTTTAGCCGTATTATGACAAAAGGGTGATTATCAGTGTTCATCCATGTTCACCAGCTGGTAATGAATCAAAGATCCTTGCCTCATAACCTCACTCTTACTTCCTACACGTGCTATCTTTCTCATCCTCAGAATCAAAGTGTTTCTATAAGATGACCTTTTAGATCTCCAAAACCAGCTTGTGTTAATTCAAACAAAGGGTCTTCACTGAAAGAGGAGTTTTAAAATAGACTGCAGGCTGTGTCAATGCCTTTTATGGTACTGATAAAGACAGGGCCTTTTTATCATCAGAGCTCCACAAGAACTCAAGCAACATCAGTGTGCTTGCTAAGAAATACCTCTGTGAGTTGCATCTGCTAAGCAGTCCTATGGAATGTTATCTGTAGATAATACTTAAAGATCATTTGACAGAGTGGTCTTCAAGCTGTACAGCTGCTACTCAAAGCCCTCACCCCATTTCCATATAAGCATTTGTGGCAATTACTTCCTGGAGTCACCTACTGCAAGAAGAGGTATGCAGATTGTCACTTGCAGACAGAAAGATACATTAAGCACATCACTGAGATCACACAGTTGACAGGAAACTTACTTCCTGCCTTATTTACCCTTCCACTATCTAGCTTGAATCCTTTTAGCATCATGTACCTTTGGGATTTTGCAGTTACAAGATGCTCTCAACCAGATATGCTCCTAAATGTTGCAGAACAGAATGCAAGGCTTGAGCTCACCCCTATGGACACTGCAAAGATTTAAGAAAATAAATAAACAATGAAAACCTTCAGTATTAGGATATACATGAAAGCATATGTAAACTACAGTTCAATACAACAATGCCCAAATTACAAAATGCTGCAACAAAAGCACAAAACTTGCCCATGTACTCACCTGCAGATCTTCCAAATAGCAAAACTGCTATCTACTGGAGATTATTTTATCACACACAAACCCTTGGAGCAGAGTTATTTGCACTCTTATGTGTAATAACGTTGCTGTTTACAGAAGAGCAGAAAGCCATAAACAAGGGAACAGTATTCCCCTTTTCTCCTGTCATTGCCTCTTTGGCATTAATGATTCAATTCCTAGTGTTTACAGTTTGGCACCTTTATTGTGTTCTGCGTAGTAACTCCACCTGCAAAGGTCTTTATGGGAGGCTATTCCTGCCAAATGGTATCTGCCATCAGCATAACCCTTCATTAACAAGTCACCAAGCTTCTGTTTAGCTCCCAGAACTGCCTCCCTGTACAATCAGATGGAAACGACTGCCAGCACCAGGGAGGCATCAGGAAAATAAATCCAGGGTTTGAGAGTGCCCTTTCAGCATCCCTAGTTATTCACCATCATTAGTTTAGCTGACAGAAGAAGCTGCACGTTCAGAACTGGAATGTCTGTCAATTTACACAGCATAACTAACTGAGACAAGTTATGGGCAAAGACAAAATGTCAGGGGTAATGGGTAGGAATCAAGAAGCAGAACAGTAATTGTTATGTGAAAAGCTCTAAAAATATCATACTTGCCTACCAAAGAATTACAAAACACTGCGTCTAAACAATTTACATTGGATTTTGACTTCTTTTTATGCAAGACACACTGACAAAACCTTAGCAGCAGATAAAGACTGAATTTATAAAAAGTTTATGCAACAAATAAAAGCAGCCATGTGAATTGAAAATTTTTGCCAAAGGCAGCCACAGCGAGCGGAAACCAAAGTGCTCTCTATACAGATATCACAATATATTTCCCAAATCAAACATCCATTTCAGTATTTGTACTTCCAGTTTCTCCCTTTGGTTATCCTCATCAGGTATGGACTCATTTAGTACAAACACAGGTAACTTCTTAAGCCAGCATAACCCATGAAAACAACATTACTGCAAATGCATTATTACTCTTTCAGATAATCCTTTTCTATTCCCTGATCCTTTCCTCTTCACTGGAAAAGATCCCCTACACAGCCTTCATCCAGTCCAAGAAAAGTTACCACCTTCATGAAGTTGAACAATAGATAAGCCTTATTTTACTTACTAAATCTCTTTGAGAGATTTCTCTATTCTCAATTCCTTGCTGTCAATATCAAAACTTGCAAGTGTAATATGATGAAGTATAAACTGAGAGTGAAGTTGTTTTCCTAGTTAGGTCACTCAAAAGTATGTATCTCCAAGAAATGATCTCCAGTGTTTACCGTGAGTTAATACTTCAGCCTTAGTATAATTAAGTTAAAATTCAATCAGCAATGAGACACAAATCCAGTCTTAATTACTTTACTACCTCATCCTCATTCATTCTAGAGGACAAACCTGGTCTGCAGATGATTAAGGCGGTATGCAACAGAGGAAGCTTTGCTGTTAGAATCCCTAGTCATTTACTGCAAAAGAAATCCCAAAATAGATGGGCCCATTCAGAACTAAAACCTCATTTACATGGGGAAAGACTACATAGCAAGGTGACATCAAAATCAGGGGGGGAAGAACAGAGTGAAAAAGTAAGTCAGAAGCAAGACACAATACACGACATCCACAAAAAAACCCGAAACAAGAGAACTGGACACAGCTTGTAGCTTCCTCTGTTCAGAGACCCAACTCATATGTATCATTTAACAAACAGTAATGAGCTCTACATGTTTTCTTTGCTTTGTCTCAGACATGTCTACCACCTCAGTCAGTGCCTGATGCTGGCTAAAAAAAAAAAAAAAAGAGATCTTCCAAGCTCACACATAAGTAGATCAGTTCCGATATATAATCTGGCTTCACAATGCAGATAGAATCTCAACAGGCTCAAAAAATGCTAGAATAGGAACTTCAAACTGAGCATTCCTGAAAGACGTATTCCGGCACCATACTTGCTCCACATGAAGGGTGAGTAAGTCCTGTGAACATGCTATCATATGCTCAATTCCAAGTCAAAAACCAACAATGTACACCTCTGATGGGCTATAAATCCAGGACTATAAAGAGATTAGACACAATTGTGTTTGTAACAAATGAAATAATTATGTAAAAGTACAAAGGCATCACTGTTTTGGCAGTGAATGCTGCTTAAAGTTGCTCATAACTACTGTGTAATTGCTCGTTCTTTATTCGAGCACCCAACTTGACACCTTGGATCTGATAAGCAGAGCCAAGTGCCTGCTGAAGTTCATAGGGTATGTATGCTAAATATGTAACCACTCGCCTTTGTTAAGTGTTCTTAGAAATCATACCACTCTGATACTGAATTCAACATCCAAATTTAGTACTTCTGATCTCTATTTTAAGGTTTTGATCATTAAGTTGGCTGTGTCTAGATAGGGTCCTGGAAAAGGCTGGAGTCTATACAAGGAGGAAAAGAGATCATTTTAACTATATTACCTCAGCTTATATAAAAGGCAGCAACTCTTTGTGCTTAAGAACTATTACTTCTTGATATAGTTTTTGTCTTCATGATTTCATATAGAAAATGCACCACTGATGCTGAAGTCGCTAGAGGTGAAGCCAAAGGTTTGAGTGATTCAGTAAGGAAAATAAGCTTATCAGAGCAGGTCTGAAGATAAAGAGCAGCAAAATGGTTAGTACTGGTAGTATCAATATGCCATTGTAACATTTAATGTTTCCAAAGGTATATAAATTCAGAAAGACAGAACTACATTGATTTATTAATGCAATATCTGTGTTACCTTTACTATCAAGAAAGAAATGGATGGAAGGAAGCAAAAAAATCAGATTAAAATGTGACTCAGTGGCTGAAGAGACTCTGGGACCTCAGAACACAAAGCTGTGTCTGCATCAGCTAAACATCTACAATAATCACATAATATTGACAGAGAAATAGGTATATTTAAGGCACATTTTAAGTTCTGTCACACTAGGAAGGGATACAAGAATTTAATCTAGTTTCCAACTGGTTTTAAGCTCTCGTTATACCCTCCCTGGGAGCCTTCCGAGTTTAGTGCACACACCAATACTGAGAATGACAGAAAGTTGGATACTTACGGTTATTGCAGTGACATTTCCTTCTTCTCTGAGCCTGTAACACCTATTCTTCAGAGAACTCAGTTTCTTTAGGAGCATGCTCTCTTAGCTTTACAATAATCTACAAAACATAACAGGCTGTAGGGTGAGGTATCCCTGCCCATGGCATGGGACTGGAACTGGATGATCTTAAGGTTCCTTTCCAGTGCTAACTATTCTATGATTCTGTGACCCATGTACTGGAAGTTTGCTCCAGAGACTGGAGTGAGAAGTCACTTTGTTATATTCATTTAATGTCATATCACTTCTAATTCATACCAGTTTCAGTTAAACGTGCAAATAAAGATCTTATCCGTTTCAGATATTGTGAATAAACAAGTTTATAAAGGTGTAAATGGGAAAAAACACAGAAAAAAAATTACTCTTCTGAAGTTAAATAAAAACCATTTTTGTTTCTTTCTGTCAAGATACCTTGCACAAACTTTACTAGTATTTCTCTTGCCAAATGACCATGTACTTTCACATGTGTACACTTCAGACTGCATGCTTTATGGAGAATCTGTATCTTTAGACCATTCCTACACCAGCGTTGCTATATTCACCACAAGCCGGCAGCCTGGAGCCTTCTCTAGGAATTGCTGTTACTGTTTTCATTGCCTGTCACCAGATCAACATCAGCTCGTGAGTTTATTCTTCATATTACTTGGTTGTGAGAAGACTTTCTAGTCCCAGATTTACTCAGATTTTTAAGACCTAGTTTCTAAGTTTCCCGTGTATTTTTGCAAAATAAAAAAGTTCCACCTATTTCATTAAACTGTGATATAAAGCTACAGATTATACACTGAATCACTGATTGTTTTTCAACCCACTTAGAAGATCACTCAAAGAAACATTCAACTTTCATTAATCTCAAATATCAGTAACCATTAGGGAAATTTTCAGAATAAGATGTATGAAAAAATGAAGAGGTACAGATAGGTGCATACAGAGTGAACAACATGCAGTGGGAAAGCACAAAGTGAATTTCCAGGCTTTTTTAATTTCCTGTAAAATTTTCAACTGCAAATTGGGCAACTCTACCAAGGCACAGCTGTTAAAAAAGGGCAGTTAATAGAGCTATGTATTCTAGTATTATCAGGTTTCTGTGGTGTGGTAAGTGTAACCATGCCATTCCAGGTAAAAGTCAACATAATTGCTACAATTTTATAGCTCTCTAAAACATGCTTTATGAGATTATATATTTCTATTTATTATTATATTATTGCATGTTAAATAAGCACCATAATTTCCTGTCGTCAGACTAGTGATAGAGGTTTCTTAAGTAAGCTAGCACAGCTCTATTAGAGTCCAAACTTCGTTTTGAGGTAGTTGTAATCATATAAATGCACTTTCTAACAATGGAAACTGATCAAGTCATAGAATCATGGAATGATTTGGGTTGGAAGGGACCTTAAAGATCATCCAGTTCCAAACCCCCTGCCATGGGTAGAGACACCTCACACTGGAAAAAGTTGCTCAAACATCCAGCCTGGCCTTCAACACTGCCAGGGATGGGGCAGTCACAGCCTCTCTGGGCAACCTGCGCCAGTGCCTCAGTAGCATGCTCAGGGAAAAAAAAAAAACAACCAAAACTCAACCACCTGACATGAGATTTTCAAAGGAAGCATTAACCATAATAGATCACTTACTTTATGCTAACTGGCACCACCCATGTGGAAGACCACACCAGTACTATAGAAGTACAAACATACAAATACTGTAGAAGAATGTTCAAGAGCTCCATTAATCAAAACCAATCAACTGACTTCTTCATGTACTGCCATATATCAACTAAATTTGTTCAGTTAAAAAAAAATCAATTAACTGATGAAAACAATTCAGATCAAAACCCAAGTATACTTACTTCAGCTCTATTTCTCTCTTTAAACATTGTCCTAGTCTAAAGCTTAGCATTGCTTCCAAACCAGTGCTGTTGTAAAATGCAAGTTAGTATGACCAGCCGCTGCCACTGGGAATTATACGTGTCAGTCTCACCAGATCACGTCTTTACGCAGCTTTCTGTAGAAATTACACATATTAAAAAAAAAAAAATCCTCCCCCCCCAAAAAATCCACCCTACTTCACCCCCAACACCCAAAAAGCCTGACAACCATGACTAATCTTTCTCAAAGAAGGAAATTACCAACCCATCACTGAGCACCAAAACTGGAGGAGCCTTATCCAGAAATATTACAAGATCTCAAGCATACAGTGAGTCACTGTTTTTCTGAACTGACACAACGCACATCCTTCACCCCCAAACGACCTTCCCTGCGATGGCTATTCAGATCAGATCGAAGAGTCCCACGAAGCACCCGTTCCAAAGCAGATGGTGGCTGCAAATACAGCAAAACAGCGCCCAGAACCAAACCTAGCATGCAGTAGACCGCAAATACATAGCAAGGTGGATGCTTCAAAAACAAATATGCATAATGGAGGCTAAATTTCTGAGACGGTGAGGGCTGTGCTCGGAGCAGGGGAATGCCCACGCCCCAGCACCTATGAAAGCCTCTCCTGTGGGACTCGGCCGGGGGAGGCTGCGGCACCTCCTGAAGCTAAGGCCCCGCCACCCGCCACCCGCCATCCCCCAGCTCCCGGCACTGCCCGCCCGCTCCCGCTGCGAAGACGGGCACGGCCGCTCCTCTCGCAGCCTCCCTATGAAGGCACTGCCGCCCATATAGATGGTCCGGGAGGCCCTCGGGGCCTGGGGTGTCGCAAGAACCCTCAGGACGGCGTCGCCGCCTCTCTCAGCCGCCCCAGGAACGAAGCGGGCGGAGCAAGCAACCACTATGTCGCGCCTGTGCAGAGAAAGCTCGCTTCTCACCCCGGCCCCGCCAGCGGGCGGCGCAGCAGGGCAGCAGGACACCCGGCCACCCCCGGCCACCTGCGGCCATCCGCGACCGCCCCGGCCCGGGCACGGAACCGCCCCGCCACCACCTGCGCTTCGCGGTCCGGAGGCAGCCATTTTGCGGGCTGCTATGGGATGACATGTTGTGCGTCGTGCGTGCGGCCGCTCATTAGCGCCTCCCCCCGCGCCTGGCGCTTGCGCAGGACGCCGCGCGTTGGACCGAGCCGGGGCAGCCCGCTCAGCGCCGCGGCGACGGAGGCGGCTGCAGACAAAGCGCCCGGCTAATGAATGGGACGGTCTTGCTCGGCCTTTCCTTTTAACTCCTTCGGGCCCGGCCGGGCGGTGGCGATCTCTGGCTTCCCTTGCAGCGGCTGCCTGGGGAGGTGAGTGGCATCGTTCCGGCACCGGGAAGGGGCCGGGCAGGGCGGTCTGGCTCTCTCTCCTCCGATCCCCGCCGCCCCCTTCTTACCTGCCGCCGCTGGGTTCTACCTCAGCGGCGCCGGTTGCTTGCGCGGTCGTGGCCCTGGGCCCGGTGGTGTCCTGTCCCGCCCGGGAGCGCCCGCGGGACAGCGCCGCCAGGCCGGGGAGGGGGCGTGTGGCGGTGTGGCGGTGCAGGAAGCCGGGGACTAGGCCCATGGTGCTGGCTCTATTGTCTGCGAGGCCCCGGGAGGGGACCCGGCTGGCCCGACGGGCGGGGGTCGCCGGTCCCTGGGGCCTCGGCGCTGATTCGGACCGCCCGGCAGGGGTGGCCGCCAAGCCACCGGCCGCGCCCCGAGCCCGCCCGGCATTGTGCGCGGCGCGGGCCCGGGCCGGCGGGACCCGCCGGGCTCCGTGCCCGCTTCCACCTGGCGGGAGCAGTAACCATGTGGCCACTGCCATCCCGAGCAGAGGTGGCCCGGACAGCCCCGGGTTGGGGGAGGGCCCGCCGCCCCACGCAGCGGGCTGCCAAGGCTCCGCGGAGGGGACACGGTGCGGGCCGAGGTGCGTGGGGACCGGCGGGCGGGAGGGTTCCCTGGGCACAGGCTGGCTAGTCGAGCACCGGTGCTGAAAAGCCAAGGGAAGTCTAAAAAGCGTTTCCTCCTGAAAACGCGGGACACGAGAGGAGCAGGCGGCTATCACTGCATCCGTTATTGCGTGGGGTGAAGTGCTTAGCCCCGTCCCTCTTGAGCTGAGGCGCTCAGGAAAGTTGCTTATGGAAAAACTGCGGAGTTTAACATTTGTGGATTGCTTTTCTTGGTTCCTGCTTGGAATTCGGTATTTTGCTTAAAAATGTCTTCTGCAATTTCTAGATCCCTACTGAGACAGCTGCTGATGATAGAGGCTGGCTGCGTTAAAATGTTGGATTTTAGAGTGTCCACTACGGTTAAAGTTGTCTGCTGCACATACGGTCTGCTATGTATAAAAACATGTATTAATGCATTGAAAGGTAAAAGGCCTCTTTTGCATTAGTGGTGACTCCACTTACACTACTAAGTCTAGAAACGTTTGTCTTTGAAGTGTATAAAGAAGTCCTCTTTCCCTAATCTTTCTCCCTAGTGCTCATGTGTTAGAAGCAGCCATGTCTTGTTTCTGGGAGGTATCTTTGAGAGATTTCACTAACTCAGCGTAAGTTGTCACACTATGCCTGTAAATACCAAGTAGAGAAAGTTTTTCAAGCCCGCATAACATAAGCATACCTCTCAGTGTTGTCTCTATGGCCCACTACATATGTGCATGCCCTCTGCTTTTCAAGAGGGTGAGCGCAGTTATTTTCCTCCAAAGGTTATCTTCAGTAATGCAGCGTTTCACTTTAAGTCATGGATGTGCACCCCTGGGAGGATGTTCTTGGAGTACACACTGGGGGTAGTGAAGTGTGGAAGACCTATCAAGTATCCCCAGGATATGCCGCAGCTGGAAAGCCTGTATTTGTGCAAGTGCTGGGTAGGGGCATCCTGGTTATTACTTAGTGTAGAGATGGGTAGAGGAAAAAAATCCTGCATTTTTTCACTGTATATTAAAAGCAGCAGAAATTATTTTGTGCGCACTAGTAATTTGCTGTCTGCTGTCTTTAAGACCAACAGGCAATGTGCAGAAAGCTTTTATTTGGTTGGATGTCTCTACTTTTGTACTTGTGTTGCTAGTATGAACCTGAACAGCTGTTTTGAAATATATTCTGTAGAAATTCTCCAGAGTGGGCAAATGTAAGAATATTGACTGAGGATAAGTAAAATGAAAGAGCCAAACTGAGCATCTTGGAGAAGTTTTCTAAACATTGGTACTTTTGAATAACCATAACTCTTATAGTGTTACTCTATATACAGTAAAACTGTGACAGTACAGCATCCTTACTGATAATGTAAAAGGCAAAGTATATAATAGTGGAAGGCTAGGCAGGTGATGCTTTTACAGTAATGCTTATTTTCTTCTTGTTACCTTGTCTCCTCTGGTTGGCGTTTCCACCTGTCCTGGCCATTTTAAACCTAGACTGCAAACATCCCGAGCAAGAAGTGTTTTTGCAAAACAGTTTGTCTCGCAGGGTCTTGGATGGTCATTGCAGAGGGCATCTGCTTCTGTACACATAAGACATCACTAAGGCTTATAACAGATCCTTTGGAAACACAGGAGGGCAACTGAGTTTCACATGTTTGTTTAAAATTGTCTATACACATGAAGCAGAGTATCTTCTGCCCGTGATATATAAGAACTAGCTATTATAGATGGAAGTCCTGGAAAACTTTAAGTCATAGGAGATAGCTACCTGTTTGTGTGGCTTTTGAGCTTATTGTATCTTCTACTTCTCCCCTTTTTCTTGGAATTTATTCTCTTCTGATTTTTAGAACCCTAAATACAATAATTTCTTAAAGATTTCTTTTATGGCTCAGAAAGTTTGAGCTAAAGAATGCAGATTTATCTCCCAACACCTTGCTGTATTTTACCGCCATTAGCGGTGAAGACTGTATGAGAGAATTTTGTAAATTCTGTCTTTTGAATGCTCATTTTCAGTTTGTAGGAGTTCTCATCTTCAAAATGAGCATATTATGCTGTGGGGTTGCTGCTGTAATGTACAGTTAAAATAATTGTCTCTCTGTTGTTAGGTGTGATGATAAATGTATATTAGCTTACATGGAGATAGAAAGCAGTATTACAGAAACTTTAGTTGGAGGTTTTGCACAATGTAGATCATCACTCATTAGCATGACTGGTGCCTTTTTTTATTAAGTAGGGGAAATTATGTATTTTAGTAGTATAGACATAAATTAATGTCATTTAGTGTCATCTGTTCAAGTGTACACTTTCAAAACAGGTTGCACAGAAAGCTGTTCTCTTGCATGTGGCAGATGTGCATTGTTTTCTGTACAATTTCAGCTGTTTGTTTTGCACTTGCTACTGGCATCATCAATACCTGTCCATTCACAACTACAAGATTGTTTGATTTCAACCAAATATGAAAAAAATGAGTAGTTTCT